GAGTTACTTTTTTGACAAAGTAATCAGTAACTATAACTAATTACTTTTTTAAAGTAACGTTCCCAACACTGGGGCTTATATATATAGAACTCCAGGTACCGTGTTGTTTGGTGACATGGAGTGAACCACACCCAACATGGACCAGAGGAAGTGAAGGAAAGAGTTGTGTCTTGTGAAATATTGGGTCGATTCAAATTTCCTAAAGTGCAATGATAATAAGATTGAAGTTATTGTGTTTAGGCCAAAAGATAGGCAAGGGACTACCAGTTTCCCCTATGAACTTGGGAGTCATTATAGAACACGTACTGAAGTTTCACAGCCAAGTGAATAATATTGTGAAGACCTGCTTTTTTCACCTTTTTTCACCATTGCTCCTACATACGTGACAGGCAGGCTTATTGACTTTGTCCTATCCGGGTCGCTTTGCTCGGCTGATCAGAACTTGCTGGTCATTTTGTCCTCTAGGCTCCGGTCTCAAGCAGTGTCGCCAACTGTTTTTGACTGAAAGTAGCTGAAGTCCCCCCCAAAAGTCGCTAGATGTCGCCAGATGACGTCACATGCTAATTTACATATTGATGACGTAATCACGCCACGGCCCAAATTGCTTTGATATGTACAATAAATTCCAAAAGTATCAATACAGTGACATTAAGACAGATATGGTGTGGTGATCCAAACAGTTCTGTTGTAGGATATAACTCAGACCTCCTGCTCTCCTCGTTCTCACAGCCATTTTCCTAAAAAGCAGTTTTTTTACACCTCATAGTTTCTCAACTTCTCTAGTTTTCTCTCCATCGTGATAATAACGGCGCACCGAGCAAAAGGGAGCGGGTGTCTCATAGTATAACCATCCCTGTGTCACTGAAGGAAATTCAGATGAGCCACAGAGCTGCGTGTGTAAACGGGACGGTAGTTGAAACTCCTGTTGACTTTATTTGCCAAATGCAGGAAAAACCAAAGTGTCTGACGGATGCAGAACCAGAGATGGCAGGTTGACGCCTGCGCCGACTCTAGTAGAAGCGTGAGCCTGCAGCAGCAGCAGACGTAAGCCGGCGGTCTCCAGCTCTGCTGCTGTACCTTTGTCTTCGCCCGGCCGAAAACGGTTTATGATTGGTCAGTCCTCGTGCACATGTGCAGATTATTGTTCTCTTTCCTTACTCCCGGTAGAACGGTTCAGAGTGCAAATGGTTTCTTTGTGGCTTATCTGTCGGGAATATCTACAAGAAAGTTCTACAGAAAGTAGCAACGGGTCATGAGAAATGTCGCTAGGTTTGTCGCTAGGCGCTTTTTGGAAAACAAGTCATTGAGGGGGGTCAAAAAGTCGTTAGGAACAGCGACAAAGTCGCTGAGTTGGCAACACCGGTCTCAAGTGCATGACGCATTTTCCAAAAATGGCTCCAACTCTGTGGAATACCTTGCATGCGTTGTCTCGGGGCGACGGGGGCACAGTAGTTTAGTGCTCGCCTTGTAATCAGAAGGTTACAGTTTTGAGCCCTGCTCAGTCTGTTGCATTTGGGACACAAGAGTCCTTGGGCAAGACACTTAACCCCCTTTGCCTGCCAGTAGTGGTCGGAGGGACCAATGGCACCTTTGTTCGGCTGCCTCGCCTCTGTCAGTGCGCCCCAGGTCAGCTGTAGCTACAACGTAGCTCATAACCACCAGGGTGTGAATGTGTCTATGAATGGTCGAATGAGTGCTTGTGTTGTACAGCACCTTGGGGGGTTCCAGAACTCTAGAAGACGCTATATCAAATACAGGCCATTTATCATTTTGCCCATGAATATTAGGCAGGCTCCACCCCCCGCATCCTTTAAGTCATGTTTGAACATGCATTATTACTCTTTAGTATTTGTATTGTAATGCCAGAGCCCCATTCCTTAGCCATACTGGTTACTGATGTGGACGGTGGTCTTATGCGTGTTTAAAGAACCTGCAGCTTGAATGTACTCCTACTATGTTTGTTTCTTTGTCTTCTTTCATCTTTCCATGATCCAGTTAACACAGTTATGCTTAACACAGCAGTTTCTTCATGTTTACTTGCCCCAGTGACAGCCCACGTAATCCTGGTCACTCAGCCACCCAGTCCTGGCCACGTAGTAAAAACTGCTTGCGCTCTGTCTCAGCAACACCTGAGACTGATCTCTCGCAGCTTAAATAAGCAGGTGTGGCTACAACCGATCAGCTGGGCTGCCTCCTATCTTAGGTATAATGCAACTGAAATAATACATAAATGACTCCTACAAGTTGGTTGAGATGAAATTTGCACTTACCGTCTCTTTTAAGTACTATTTTATTCAGTTTTTATTTTATTTTAGAGCTATTGTCATGCACAGTGGCAGCTGGTGATTTTTATTTTTTTGGGGTGGGGTGCAATTTAACAGGTGTGCATGAATAACAAGGTCTTTTAATACATTTGTACTACTGACACATTTCTTTTCCATTTGCTTCCTTACAAAATTATGGTTTATGGGCAGCTAAATAAAAGAAATGACAGTTTATTTGAAAAAAAAAAATCTTTCAGATATTAGTAATGTCGAGTCACATTCCTGTTTTTTTAAACCAGCAGCAAAATTCTTCAAGCAAGCAGAAAAAAAGAATATAAAAATGCTCACTAAACATAAGGTGGCAAAAACTTAAATAATTAATCATTATTTCATCATATTTCTAGTCAAAAACAAAAGGTTTTCAGGAGAAACATGGATTAGATAGGTGTTCATGTTTATGAGCCTCATCGCTCATAATTCTAATAATTAAGTCTGAAATTTGTGGTTGGGGCGACTTAGATGCACTATCCATATATCACCACCAGGGGACGCCAAATCACCATTCTTACGCATCACTCCTACAGGCATTAACAGCTAAATAGTTCCAGAAACTGCTTAATATTCACCAATTTCCTACCTTTGCTGGTTTAAGGTCATAATAATCCATGTTATAATAAAAATAATCAATTTTTTACGTATAGGAGCATGTTCAAAAGTCTCTGATGACACATTCAAACATTTTCTGGTTCTTCACAATAACAAAACTCCAGAAGGTGTCCTCAGCTGCTCTACAACAACCGAGGATGGTTAACTGTGGAGAATTTCCAGTTCTTTCTTGGTCTGAGCTGAGACTCCGCCCTACCGGTCTTCTGAGCATGACTTTGCAGGGGTTGTGTCCCTGCGACCAAAGGCTCTACTATAGTCAGTTAGCGTAGGTCTATGGTAGAGTCTGCGGCAGCTAAAAGTAACAGTAAATACATCACAAGAGGATTCAGTAGTGGTAAAAGTGTAAATAACATTTTTAAACTACACTTAAATGCAGATTATACACAGCACTACAGTCTGTATGATGTAGACATCGTTCAGTTTAATTTTCATGTATTTTTTTTTATGTTTTGTGATTCCTATCTTCTTTTTCTTCCTGTGAGACCTGTAGGGCGGTGCCCTAGCGCCCCCTATGGATGACCCGCCACTGGTTGTGCATGTGATTGTTCCATGATGTGTCCAGCACTTTGTTCTCCCAAATGGGCGTGTAAAAGGGCTTTACAAATAAAAAATGAATTTACTTGGCTTGACTCAGGCGATTAAAAAAAATATATTGTAGACAAGCATGTTAAAGGTAAAGGCTATAAGACCATCTCCAAGCAGCTGGATGTTCCTGTGACTAGAGTTACTTCAGACCCATGAGACTGTAGCCAACCTCCCTGATTGTGACCACAGAAGCAAAATTGATGACTAATCAAAGAGATGGATAATCCGAAAGGTAACAAAAGAGCCCAGAAAAACCTCTAAAGAGATCCCAGTTGAACTTCAATCTCCAGGAACATCAGTGTCAGATTGCACCATCCATTGTTGATTGAGCCTAAGTGGACTACATGGGAGATGACCAAGGAGGACACCATTGTTGAAATCAAATCACAAAAAAACAAAAAAACAGGCTGGAATATGTCAAACTACATGTTGACAATTCAGAAAGCTTCTGGGAGGATGTCCTATGGGCAGGTGAGACAACAATGGAACCAAGGGAGCCAAAACACATCAGCTCTAAGTTCACAGACGAAAAAATGAAGCACATCAAGAAAAGTAAACTTTTCCTACTGTGAAACATGGAGGAGGCTGTGTTATGTTCAGGGGCTGTTGTGCTGCATCTGGCACAGCGTTTCTTGAATCAGTGCAGGGTACAATGAAATCTCAAGACTATGAAGGCCTTCTAGAGAGAAATGTGCTGGCCAGTGTCAGGAAGCTTGGTCTCAGTTGTCGGTCATACGATGGACGATGACACAGCTAAGAACGCCCAAGTGTGGCTAAGAGGAAAACATCGGATATTCTAAAGGGGCCTTCTAAGTCCTGACCTCGAGCCTTTTGAGCATCTTTAGGAGGAGTTAAACATGCCATCTGGAAAAGGCGCCCTTCAAACCTGAAACACCAGATTGCTCATGAGGAGTGGGCCAAAATACCTGCTGAGAGGAGCAGAAGTCGTATTAACAGTTACAGGAACGATTTAAATGCAGCATCGCCTCAAAAGGTTGTGCAACAAAATATGAAGTTGGGGTACCGTCATTTTTGTCCAGGCCCGTTCATCACTTTATTTTTTTAATCATTCCACTGAAGCACGGTTGAAAAGCAATGCCTGACTTTCATTGGGTAAATTTCATAGAATTTATATTTATTATTTTTGTCAGTTTCAAGGTATTTCTGGTTCTTCTGTCAGTGACTGAATGGTACCAATGTTTTAGTCTGGAGCCTAAATTGTACTAACTGTCTTTCTGTTTGTTTATTCTACAAATTTGAGATACACATTAATTTTCTTTCTGTGAGTGAGTTATGAGATCGGAGTATTTGTGTGTTAGAGTGTATGTTAGTTTTTTTTGAGTTATTGTATTGTTTGTACTGTGTGTGTGTGTGTGTGTGTGTGTGTGTGTGTGTGTGTGTGTGTGTGTGTGTGTGTGTGTGTGTGTGTGTGTGTGTGTTTGCTGCTCCAACTTCAGTTCATCACAATGTATTTTTGTCTTGTAGGAGGAGACTGGGAGTGTTACCCACACGACCCCACTGGATGGCACGTGAGTCACTGTTTTGTCTGTATCCGTTATGGTGTTTGGGCTTCAGCCTGTTTCATGTTTACTAGGAATGGGCGATATGGCCTAAAATCTGTATCGTGATCAATTCTGAAGCACATGCAGTAATGTCGACACATTCTTCCCTTCACTGTGTGGAGGGGGCCAGCATCTTGCCCGGGCTGGGGTTTTGGTGTTTTTTTTTTTACATGTTGTGTTTATGTCTGTGTTGGTTACATCTGACGGAGTGTGCATGTTTTGATTTTGATCAAGACTAAGTGTATTTGAATTTTCTAGCTTATGTGTTTATATTTGTGAGTCTGTCATTGAGTGACCACATGTGGTAATCTTTGTCAAACTCTCTGTAGCATCCTGTAACCTGGCAGCCTTCCAAGGAGGGAGACCATCTGATTGGACACATCACTCTCAGTAAGAGGAGCACCACCATACCTAAAGAGGCCGGTGCTTTGCTCGGGCTAAAGGTCAGGGGCACCATCATTTGTCGAGTATAATATTTACAATGTGATTTATGTGATTTTAAATCAGACCTCCTTGGTGTGTGTTTCTCTGGAGGTGGTGGGAGGCAGAGTCACTGAGTCAGGGAGATTAGGTGCCTTCATCACCAAAGTGAAGAAAGGAAGTCTGGCTGAAGTGGTGGGACATCTCAGAGCAGGTACACACTGAACCAGCACTGCTGGAAAAAAAAAACATTTATGCAAATGTCTATAAGTTGCTTTTTTATGTTGATTTATGTGTTTTAGTAATAGCTTTGTGTACTGTTAAACCTTGTTGTTTGGGCCTTCGTAAGCATGTTTTTTTTAATACAATATGGAATAAAAGTAGACACGCATCACATCCAGCTGTTGTACGGAATGAGGTGAGTGTTTAACATCAGCACATGTTCTGTACGTGAATGTCTGGTTTCAGGGGATGAAGTTTTGCAATGGAATGGGAAGCTGTTGCCGGGCGCAACAATGAAGGAAGTGTATAACATCATCTTGGAGTCTCAGTCTGAGCCTCAGGTGGAGTTGGTGGTGTCCAGGCCAATTGGGTGAGTCGGGAAGTAAACCTAACCATTGGTTTGGGTTATGAGTGTGGTTTTACAGGTGTAGTTGTGTATCGGATCAGAAGCAGCGGTCCCCTTTAAGACGGGGACTTACATGTTTGATAGAATAAAGGTGTAATAATAAAGACATACAAACCAGTTTGTAAACTCATTCAAAGATTGTGATGGAAGTGAAAGATGACATTAGAACTAGGGCTGAACAATCTAATGGGGACCAGTTTTCTGGAATTTGTCTTTTGTGCCGTTGCTAAGGCTGTGGTCATCTTTAAGGCCCAATTAGCTGCTCCCACTCGGTTTCCCCTCTCTGTCCTCCTCCTCCTCCAGCATTCAGGCGATCCAGAAAACGCTCCAATTAGTACCTGTGATGTAACGATGCCATTTCTTGCCCAGATTGTAGAAATACATTGTAAACTTTGTGCTGAAGCTTGATTTGAAGAAAATCATCAATCATATTGAATCTGCAATTACTGACAGAAAAATTCAAATTGAACCGAACCTTTTCCTGAAATCGTTCAGCCCGGAATCACGGCAGCAGCGCTCATAATGACTTGAATCCTTTTTTGTTGGTAGGGATTCTATGAAATTAAAAGTTTCATAAGGTAGTTTTGATTTTTAAGATTAAAGATAATTTTATTTTCATTAGACTTTAAACTATTCCTCGTTTGCATAAAAATGCATTGAACTAATGAGATAGTGAAAATGTGCCGCATTAAATTGAATAGTTTAAACATAAGGCAACGTTTTCTTTTAAAACAATATATAGGGAGCCTAAGCCACGCCCATCTACTTCCGCATCATGTTTCCCCGGAAGAACGATAACATGAATGCAAGTCAACACAGCTAAAAACGCTATTTACTAATTCCGCTTGTTATGTGCCATGGATTTCACATATGATGTCAGTGAATTTAAAAGATGCTTTTTGATACCAAGAAAGTGCTTATTTTTGAACGGGGGAAACGTTATTTTAGGTTTCGTGTGAAAATAAGCCCAGGACTTCAAATGCGCTTCATGAAAATGATGTTATCGAAGAAGACACGGAGAAAACTGAGGGAAAAGGGCTGTAAGTTCAGCAAACACCAAATCCTTCCCTCAGGAGGAAAGAACCACCATGAATCTGGCCGTGTGCTCAGTAGCAGCTACTTTGGGGAGAGGAGATTCTGTGGTCACCAACGCGACAAGTCCATGTCTGGTGTGTAGTCATGCTAATTAGGAACTTTTACAAGTTGATGAATCTCAAAGTCTGTGACTGGCATGGTCGAAACATCCATCATTAGTTTTCATTTAAATATAAGTACAACATATGTGTGATCCAGGGCGTAAAGCGGATTAGAAAATAGCTATTTTAGTTTCGTCTTGCATTCATTGTTTTGCTCTTCCGGGGACCCTTGAGCCGACCAGGCTCCCTGTTGGGAAAGCATGACTGCTGCAAACAAATTTGAAAAAGTAAATCACACAATTTTAAAGACTTACTAAACTAAACAGTTCAGGTGAAGTCAGATTCAGATTTAGTGTTTGTTGAATCGCACACAGAATAAGACTTTATTAGAGGTAATGCTGCTGGTCCCTCTTGCATTTTGTTATTACCTTCACATTTGACTTCATACTGCTGAGAAAAAATTTGAATGTGATACTTTCTCTCCAAATACTCGTGAAGGGTGTATAGAAAATATCAGTAAGTAATCCTCTTTTTTTGTCCTCCTTACAGTTTTCATTTTGCATTTATTTTCAGGTCCTTAAAAAGTTTTATTTTTCATTTATTTTGCTGTGCTGGTGCTGTAATGGATGACTCGATGGACTAAACTACACTTTTTTAGTTGGGATGCTAATTGATCAAAACACAACTTTTGTTAAAATAGCTTGCTTTCCAAAGTTAAGCTGATGAGATCCAAAATGGCTCCAGTGAAACAATTGTCATGGTCATTGAAACACTTATCAGCTTAATATTAAATTCAAATAAAAAAGAAAAGCTGCTGAATGAGATTCAAATGAGAAATAACATTACTTTAAATTTAACCTGCATATTTTCCACCCCTGAAGCTCGGCCCTTAGCGGGTGTCCAGAGAGCGTTCTTGCCAGATACTCCAACCTCCCAAGCTGGCTCATATTGCTGCAGATGAGAGTGAACTAGACCAAATTCTTGCTTTGCAAAGTTTGGTCTAGGAATGCTCCACTGACCTCTGCAGCCCCAACAGCATTCTGGCTGGCCAATCACAGCTCTCTAGAGGGGTTTCAAACACATAAAGAGCTGCGATTGGTCCATAATGGTGGGCCAATCATAGTGCTCTATCTGCTTAGTGAACAAATCACAGAGCTTTATCCGCTTTGTGGGCCAATCAGGGCACTCTATATGCCTGGTGGGTGGGACGATGCAACAGAGTGAAACAAGAGTATGTCACATTCATTGTCCAGTGGAATGAGGAGATCATTTGAAAGACAACGGTAGAACCCGCCCCACAACCGAGAGCCGTCAATGGAGCGTGGCCAGACTAAATAATGCATTTATTTAGTCTGGCTTGCCAGGCTACATCAACTCTGCTTCACCGTAACCTCTCAGAAGGAATCTGCTTTAAATCAAAGTTTTACCTTCTTGGTCATTAAACCTTTTTCACACAGAATGTGGTTCAGTTTCAGAGCGTCTTCCGCTCAAACATCACTGAGTCCAATCAGAGCATTCAACCGGCTACGGTGTAGCTCTGATCTGGATGCGGAGCTATGGAAAGTTTCAACACAGAGTCTATTTTTCCAAATGCCACATGCTGATTGTCATGAAGGTAAAGAAATTTCATGAGCCAAACAGGAAGCGAGACATTCAGAGATGTTCAGTGTGAATGGCAGTCTGTAAGGAACCCAGACCTTCTCCATACCACATTCTGTGTGAAACAAGCTTTACCCTCAAGACCATAGGCGAAGGTTGGAAGGTGGAATACATGATAATTTGAAAGTTTCCATCTTACACCACATGCTTCTAATTTGCATCGTTCTACACTCTTAAAGGCTCCAAGACACTTGAACTACCTCTGCTTAGGTTTATGTTTATGTTTAAGTTTATTCATTTAGCAGACGCTTTTATCCAAAGCGACTTACAATTTATAACCTATAAGGCATGTTGTGATCTGTGGGGGAAACCGGAGCACCCGGAGGAAACCCACGCATGCATGGGGAGAACATGCAACTCCACACAGAAAGGCCGCAGCCGAGTTTCGAATCTGCAACCTTCGTGCTGCAAGGCAACAGTGCTAACCATTGCGCATTGGTAGAAGTCCCAACCTGGACCTTGAGTTTTCAAGTTAAGGACCATGTCCTGAGACTTACACATACTGGTCTTTCCCACATCAGCCTGTTGGATATTCAAGCTTGATGAAGCCAACAGGATCACATGATCTAATACAGTCTCAGAGGGTCTCTGTTCCTTGGCTGCAACTAAAAATCTGTCTTTAAAGGCTATAATCGGAATCAGGGACCACTGGAAAACCTGGTGTAGTCAAACACTTGCTGGAAACGACTCAGGCGTAACCGTGGCTATGTGAACCAATTCTTATTGTGGCTATACGAGAATTGAATGACCCTTCGTAAGCTCCAAACACAATACCTATAAAGTCCCCTCTAGAGGGCTCTATGAAAGCCATTGCTTTGAGTGTGATTTTGGAAAACCCCTCCATCACTGGGATGAAAACCCCACGTTTCCTGCTGGATCAGAGGTTGAACTCGGAGTTGGACTCTCACTCTCTAGTTGAAACACATCCTCTTGTTCCCATTTTTAACGATGGAGTGGATGATGTTTCTCGAGCACTTTTTTCTATATTGTTTGAAATGCTCTTCACACACCAGTGGCAACCAACAAATACAATTTTGGTCAAAAATGAATGACTTCTGAAATGCACAATCCTGGAATAGCCTCATCAATCTTAATTATTGGGGAAAACATTGGGGAAAGCCTGCAGTAAGAGAGTTGGATGTCAGACTTGTGTACATTCAAAAAGCAGCTTGCATGAACAATAATAAAACATCTCCTGTTCCACCTTTAATGAGAGGGACCTGGTCAACTATTCCAAATAAATTGTTTTTCTACCCATGATCTTGCGCAGGTGTGTTCTTCCCAGGTCACACTGCTGTCAGATGGAGCACATTTCAGTGTTCCACAGAAGCACTTCCACCAGAATCCTTAACCCCATTGTCTCACCCACAATTAAACCAACTGCTGTTCACTGTCTCTCACCCAAGCTGAATAATATAGTCTATTTTCTTTCTAAAATATTGCTGCTATAGACCCCTGCTGAGCGTTCAGAGGATCCTAATTATTTATCCTATTTGGTCCCACCCAGCTCAACTCAAATTCTTCCCTAGCAAATAAAGCTCAATGTTTCTAAAACCAGTTTCAATAACCAAGAAGTAGTGTTGTCTCTTCATTTTCTGATTTGTGCTTATTTTGGCCCCAAAGCCAGAACTGCTTTTCCATAGGAGAATCAGCCCAACTACCCAAGAAGCATAGCTTCAGGGTTCCACTTAAAGGTTTATTACTTATTTGTGTTAGTCCAAGCTGGAAACAGATCAACAATGTCTCATGCCATAAGTAGACTCTTTCCTCACCAAGCAGACAGTAAACCAAACACATAATCAGTAGGGGTGCAAACCCATCTTCACTGCTCCAAACTGACATGTTCCATTCGTTTGTTCCTATCTTTACCTGTATGTTCCTGATCATATTACTAATAACAGACATGTTTCACACATCTTTTATTAATAAGAATAATTATCTCGACAACAGTTTACCTAAAAGGTCTCAAAGGGGCAGGGTGTTTGGTTGGTAGTTTGACTTTCCAACACATTTCTCCCAAAATAAGTTTTATTGTGTGATGTGTACAACCGTAGAAGTAAATGTTAATTTTTTTAGCAGAACTGTTGCAATGCCTCTGACATAAAAAACAGCTGAAGTTACAAGTATCGTCGTCGTCTTCCTCCGCTTATCCGGGTCCGGGTCGCGGGGGCAGCATCCCAACTAGGGAGCTCCAGACCGTCCTCTCCCCGGCCTTCTCCACCAGCTCCTCCGGCAGGACCCCAAGGCTTTCCTGGACTAAATTGGAGATGTAACCTCTCCAACGTGTCCTGGGTCGACCCGGGGGTCTCCTGCCGGCAGGACATGCCCGAAACACCTCCCCGGGGAGGTGTCCAGGAGGCATCCTGACCAGATGCCCAAACCACCTCAACTGGCTCCTTTCGATCTGGAGGAGCAGTGGTTCTACTCCGAGTCCCTCCCGAATGTCCGAGCCCCCCACCCTATCTCTAAGGCTGAGCCCGGCCACCCTACGGAGGAAACTCATTCCGGCCGCTTGTATCCGCGATCTTGTTCTTTCGGTCATTACCCAAAGCTCATGACCATAGGTGAGGATTGGGACGTAGATCGACCGGTAAATCGAGAGCCTGGCTTTCTGGCTCAGCTCCCTCTTCACCACGACTGATCGGCTCAGCATCCGTATCACTGCAGATACTGAACCAATCCGCCTGTCGATCTCCCGATCCCTCCCACCCTCACTCGTGAACAAGACCCCGAGATACTTAAACTCCTCCACTTGAGGTAGGACCTCTCCCCCGACCCGGAGTTGGCAAGCCACCCTTTTCCGGTCGAGAACCATGGTCTCAGATTTGGAGGTGCTGATCCTCATCCCAGCCGCTTCATACTCGGCCGCGAACCTACCCAGCAAGAGCTGAAGGTAAGAGCTGGATGAAGCTAGGAGGACCACATCATCCGCAAAAAGCAGAGACGAGATTCTCCTGCCACCAAACTCGACACACTCCACACCAAGGCTGCGCCTAGAAATTCTGTCCATAAAGGTAATTAACAGAACCGGTGACAAAGGGCAGCCCTGGCGGAGTCCAACCCTCACCGGGAACAGGTCCGACTTACTGCCGGCTATGCGGACCAAACTCACGCTCCTCTGGTAAAGGGAATGAATGGCCCTTAACAGAAAGCCACCCACCCCATACTCCTGGAGCGTCCCCCACAGGGTGCCCCTGGGGACACGGTCATAAGCCTTCTCCAAATCCACAAAGCACATGTGGATTGGTTGGGCAAACTCCCATACCCCCTCCAACACCCTTGCAAGGGTATAGAGCTTGTCCACAGTTCCACGGCCAGGACGAAAACCACATTGCTCCTCCTCAATCTGAGATTCAACTATCGATCAGACCCTCCTCTCCAGTACCTTGGAGTAGACCTTCCCAGGGAGGCTGAAGAGTGTGATCCCCCAATGGTTGGAACACACCCTCAGGTCACCCTTCTTAAAGATGGGGACCACCACCCTGGTCTGCCACTCCACAGGAACTGCCCCCGATGACCACGCAATGTTGCAGAGATGTGTCAACCATGACAGCCCTACAACATCCACAGTTTTGAGATACCCAGGACGAACCTCATCCGTCCCCGGGGCTCCGCCGCTGTGTAGTTGTTTGACTACCTCAGCAACTTCTGCCCCCGAGATTGGACAGTCCATCCCCAGGTCTCCCGGCTCTGGTTCCTCCTCGGAATGCGCATAGGTGGGATTGAGGAGCTCCTCAAAGTATTCCTTCCACCGTCCGACTATAGCCTCATTTGATGTCAGCATCTCCCCATCCCCACTGTAAACAGTGTGAGTGAGTTGCTGCCTTCCTCTCCTGAGGCGCCGGACAGTTTGCCAGAACCTCTTTGGAGCCGATCGATAGTCTTTCTCCATGGCCTCACCAAACTCCTCCCACGCCGGAGATTTTGCCTCGGCAACTGCCACTGCTGCACCCCGCTTGGCTATCCGGTACCTGTCTGCTTCCTCCGGAGACCCACAGACCAGCCACGCCCTGTAGGCCTCCTTCTTCAGCCTGACGGCTCCCCGAACCTCTGGTGTCCACCAGCGGGTACGGGGGTTGCCACCACGACTGGCACCGGCCACCTTGAGACCACAGCTAGCAACAGCCGCCTCAACAATCGCAGAGTGGAACAAGGCCCACTCGGAGTCAATGTCCCCCACTGCTCTCGGGATGCTGTCAAAGCTCTGCCGGAGGTGGGAGTTGAAGACCGTCTTAACAGGTTCTTCTGCCAGGCGTTCCCAGCAGACCCTCACTATGCGTTTGGGTCTGCCAGGTCTGCGCGGCATCTTCCCCTGCCATCTGATCCAACTCACCACCAGGTTGACAGCTCCGCTCCTCTCTTCACTCGGGTGTCCAAAGCATACGGCCGCAGGTCAGATGATATGACTACAAAGTCTATCATTGACCTGCGACCTAGTCTGCCCTGGTACCAAGTGTACCGATGGGCATCCTTATGTTTGAACATGGTGTTCGTTATGGCCAAACTGTGGCTTGCACAGAAGTCCAATAACGAAACACCACTCGAGTTCAGATCAGGCGGGCCATTTCTCCCAATCACATCCCTCCAGGTTATGCTGTCATTGCCCACGTGAGCATTGAAGTCCCCCAGCAGGACAATGGAGTCCCCCTGATGGAGTACTATCTAGCACTTGTCCCAGGGACTCCAAAAAGGGTGGGTACTCTGAACTGATATTTGGCCCATAAGCACAAACAACAGTCAGAACCCGTTCCCCGACCCGAAGGCGCAGGGAAGCTACCCTCTCGTCCCCCGAGGTAAACCCCTACACACAGGCAGAGAGTCTTGGGACTAACAAAAAGTCAACCCCAGCCCTCCGCCTCTCACCCGAAGCAACTTCAGCAAAGGAGAGTGTCCAACCCCTCTGAAGGACTTGGGTTCCAGAGCCAATGCTATGTGTCGAGGTGAGTCCGACTATATCTAGCCGGTACCGCTCAACTTCTGCCACAAGCTCCTGCTCCTTGCCCGCCAGCGTGGTGACATTCCATGTCCCAAAAACCAGTTTTCTTGTCCGGGGATCGGACCGCCAAGGCTCCCGCCTTGGTCTGCCACCCGATCCACATTGCACCGGACCCTTCATGTTCCTCCCGCGGGTGGTGGGTCCACAGTTGGATGAGCCCATGTATCTGGTTTGGGCTGGGCCCGGCCGGGCCCCATGGGTGAAAGCCCAGCCACCAGGCGCTCGCTCACGGGCCCCAACCCCAGGCCTGGCTCCAGGGTGGGACCCCGGTATCCCTCCGGGCCGGGTACTCCGACTCTTTGACTTTACCTCCATGAAAGATCCTGTGAACCGTTCTTTGTCTCACCCTTCACCTAAGACCAATTTGTCATGGGAGACCCTACCAGGGGCACAAAGTGCCCCAGACAACATAGCTCCTAGGATCATTAGGGCACTAAAACTCCTCCACCACGATAAGATGACGGTTCAAGGAGGAGAAGTTCCAAGTATATAAAACTAATCTGATAAGTGCTTCACATATCTCTCAGCTTTTGCTTCTATGGATGGGGAAGAGAAGGAACAATGGTGCTGCTAGCAGAACCAAACTGCTTGTTTTCATCCATTATTATTTCACCTCATGACACAACCTTCACCAATATGTCAAAGCCTCTCCCAAACACTGGAGTCCTGAAAGTGGCATGCCTCCCATCTTCCTGTTGGTTCTCCAAGTCATTGAACCACATGATCATTTTTCATCTGAGCATCAGGAGAACATTACACTGCTGCTTTATTTCTGTTAAAATGCTGTCACATGCTTTATTATCCGTTGCATTTCCAATGTCATTTCCTTTGATCTAAATGTTAACTCAAGAGAGTGATGTTTTGCTGCTTTCTGTTTTGTAGTGATATCCCAAGAATCCCCGATACCTCCCACCCTCCATTAGAATCCAGTAAGTATCTCCTCTGCCTTTAAAAAAATCTTACTTCTATAAAGTTGCCAGATATGGTCTAATTCTGGTCCAAATGAGGTTGTTGTGGACATCCTTTGTACATCACCCAGACATGTCGCAGTGACGTCCTTTCCAGGTCATTTCTGCACGTCCGGATTTGGTCCCTTGAAGGTGCAGACTGATGCCCGATGGCGTATTTTCATTCACATCTCCTGAACACCCTGTACTGACATCCTCAGGAAGTCCAGATAGGGGCTAATTCTGGGCCAAATTAGGTCGCTGTGGACGGTCACCCCGACACATTGTGGTAACCTCTTTTCTAGGTCGTTTCTGCACGTCCAGTTTTGGTCTTCTCACGGTGCAGACTGTGACGCCAGATGACATATTTTTTTAAACGTCTTCTGGACGTCTTGTATTTACACCATCAGGTCTTCCTCATATGGGCACTAGTCAAAATTAGATTGTTCATTCTTGTAACATTTATGCTAATTTTAGACAGGTTTATGAACACCTGACTTGCTGGAATGACAGGTACACAAAACATACTACACAAGTAAATCAAGCCCACCAATCTTATTCAATATTCTTCTCATTTACCACACACACTCTCACACACACACCTGTTGATCAAATGCTTAATTTAACATTAATGATGCATTCTTGAGAGGCTCCACCACATCTCTGGTGCATGTTTATAATTATATTTACGGTGAACCACAACCATACAGTTATGAGTCTGCTGCACGCCCCAGAGACAAGCCAGAGGGAGAAACGATGGCCAAGATTTAGCTGTGGTGTCAGGAAGTTCTGCGGAGCGAGCAGATGTCTGAGCTCAAACTCATGTGCTAACATCACAAAATTGTACACATTATTGACATGTTAATTGTCACTTAACAAGGAGTGTTTTATTCTGTGTTATAAAATTTCTGTTAATATCCGTTTATACAAAGTATAGCTTTAGATAGAAGCAGACAGACAGACAGACAGATATAAAATACCTCAGACAGATATAAAATACCTCAGATAGATATTGAATACCTCAGTTTATTCAAATTATCAGTTTATTCAAATTATCAATCATGTTTTATTTCTATTTCATATTAATGATAGTATAAAATATGTTTAAAGCTAAGTAACAATATTTTGTTGAAAGGACGTCCAAAACGACCCCCTTTGGACCAGCTTTAGCCCATATCTGGAGGTCATGTATACGTCAATACCAGAGGTCCACAAGATGTTGATGAAAGACGTCAACTGGGGTCACAGTCTGCACATTCAGAGGACCGAAACTGGATGTGTGAAAATAACCTGGAAAAGACGTCACTACGACGTCTCTGAGCTGCGAGCAACAATATTTTTAATGTTATTTTTTGCACCTGTTTTAGACGTGAAAAGCGCCCCAACCCAAGGTTCAAAATTTTTCACGTTATTTTGACATCCAAGCAGGGTCATATTTAGACATCCAAACAATGGCCATGGTTTCCCCGTCCAGCAGATTTCTAGAATTTGTCTAGACTGACAGACTCAATACAGACCTAATCTGCACGTCCGTGTGACGTTGATTGTGTGGTGGGAACCTTGACCAATAGAACTGCTTATCCAGAAATGGGAGCTGTCTGCATGGGTGATTATCTTTCAGTTGGCAACAAGTTATTTAACCCCAACTGCTTCAATGACTTGCTTCTTATTTTTAAACAACCATGTTATTCTGAGAAGCGTCAAATCATTGGCATGCATTGAGCGGAGAGAACTTATAAGGAGGCTGCAGAAATGATCACATTAATACAGGATTATAAACTGGAAGGACACTGGGCACATGTCTTCTTTGAGGAAGAAATGTAGCTGGGAAAAAATCCTGAATGATCGTGATTGGCGATGACTTCAGCGTTTGGTGAAATTTAATCAAAGAAAAACGACAGTAGAACTCATGGCTGTTTAATAGTGAAATTAAGAGCATTTCCACATGCACAGTGTGAAGGGAGCTCAAGGGATTAGGACTGAACAGCTGTGTAGCCATAAGAAAACCACTAATCAGTGAGGCAAATCGGTAGAAAAGGCTTCAATTTGCTAGGGAGCATCAAGATTGGACTCTGGAGCAATGAGAAGGTCATGTGGTCTGATGAGTCCAGATGGACCCTGTTCCAGAGTGATGGTGCATCAGGGTAAGAAGAGAGGCAGATGAAGGGATGCACCCATCATGCCTTGTGGCTACTGTACACACCTGTGTGGGCAGTGCTATGATCTAGGCTTGCTGCAGTTGGTCAAGTCGAGGTTCAGCAACAGGATGTGCTCCAAGAATGAGGTCAGCTGACTACCTGAATATCCTGAATGATCAGGTTATTTCATCTTCCCTGATGGCACAGCCATATTCCAAGATGACAATGTCAGGATTCATCAGGCTCAGATAGTGAAAGAGTGGTTCAGGGAGCATGAGACATCATGCTTAATATTCACATTAACCCTAACCATCATCAATGCAAGATCTTGGTAAAACATTAATGCAACAATGCAATGATTTAGAGGAGCTGATTCTCATCCCAGCTGCTTCACACTCGGCTGCGAAGCGCTCCTGTGACAGCCGGCGATCACGCTCTGATGAAGCCAACTGGGCCACATCATCTGCAAAAAGGAGATATCTGATCCTTAGGCCACCAAGAGAGATTCCCTCAACACCTTGCCTGTCCATAAAAGTTATGAACAGAATTGGTGACAAAGGGCAGCCTTGGTGGAGTCAAACTCTCATCAGAAACAAGCCTGATTTACTGACTGGTACCAGTCGTAATGATCTGTGGCAGATGCAGAGTGAAATCCTACCAACAGAGATCTCTGTCGGCTTTCACTTCTCTTCACTGTAAGCTAAGACTCAAGAGTCAGGAAGAAAAACAAGACCAAGACCAGAGTTCCTGGTTGTGGGAGTCAGCTACTCGAGAACAGCTTGTACCTTTTCTGGATACACCTTAAGCCGCCCGCTCTCCAGAATAAAACCCAGGTACTTCACAGTGGCAACGTGAAATTCACACTTCTCCGCTTTCACATAAAGGTGGTTCCAGGAGCCTTTGCAGGACTGCTCACACGTGCTGATGGTGCTTAGAGGTCTTCTTTGAGAAAATGAGACTATCATCAAGATAAACAGTCACAAACTTATTTATGTAATCCCCCAGCACTGCTGGACTGACCATAGGGCATAGCGGGCAACTGCCCGCTGGGCCGACCCTTTCATCTTTTATGGGCCGGTGTCTGTTTTTTTTTTTTTTTTTTCCCTAGTCTCTAGTTGTTGCGGACAACTTGTCCGCGCCGCCCCACGCGACGCCTCGTAAAAGTTGGTGGATTGGCCAATTGGTAATAATACACTCTGGGCTGGACCCATAGCCAGAGGTCTGATGCACCCGCCAGTTGTTTGTGAATCTCAGTAAACAGACAGACGAGCTTTACAAAATGGAGAACAAAAAACGGAAAGCAGGAGCGGAGAAAATTCGACTAAAAAAGAAACTGGCCCTTCAGGCTGATGCTGGCACATGTGTTAAAATCTCACAGTTGTTTGGTAGTGAAGGTTCAAGTAAAATCAATTTAGGAAGTGATGGAGCCTCAGCCCAGCGACAGGTTAGAGAAGAAAAGAGGGAGGAGGAGGAGAAACCCGAGCCGGTGTTGTGCCATTAATCGTTTCGCTGCCAAAAAATGATTAGCCACCGCGGGATCACGCATGGTTAGGTAATTGCATTTCTAGACAAAATTCCCCAGGATTTCGCCCTAAAACTCAGCAGCAATATGGACATTCAGAAAGCAAAGATAACCTCTTCCGGTACTTAAACAGATGTTTATCGCGGATATTAGTGTGGCAGTGTTTGTGGCACCCTGCGCAGGAGCACGAGGACGTGCTTGTGGAAAGAGGGAGGAAGATGTGGCAGTGTGAGCATCCTGTCACAATGTCTTGATTGATCTTGCGCCCTGGCTACTTGGCCAAGGGGATGTCCATTTGGCTGACTGGTTAGAGCGTATGACTCTCACCCCAGAGGTCTGGGGATCGAATACAACCCGGGCCGTCGTTTATCCACCTTGCCACATTAGTTTTCCCAGTTCGGAAGTTGTTTTAAGTGTTGCTAATTGTCTTAAACGTTCACAATGAGGATATATTAATCCTTTTTGCAATATTTGCTATTGAAAGATGGTTTGTGGTAAGAACTGGCTTTCTTTATGTTACAGCCTTGATACTAAAAAAATAAATAATGGAAAATGGCACCCTGTATTGAATGTAAACGTTGTATAAATGTAAATAAACAATTCTCCAGCGATTTAATTTTTTCCCCTTCCTTTCTTTAGTCCACTTGACATGGAGCCACAGTTAACTAGTTTGGGGCACATTTTTACTTGGAAAAATAGTATTTAAACTGATCAAGCTTTGGCTTTAATGACACTGTGTAGGTTACTATCTATACATTACGTTGCTCTATTTAAAAGTAACAAGATAAAAGCTCTTCTGCACATAAAATTAAGATTGTCACTTGCCAAATAGACTACACCCTCCCGTTTACCTATAAGAAACGCCTCAAAATATCTTTAAATTCTTTATTGATGATTTAATTGTAGACAACTAAAATGGCATTTTACTTGCCAAAAAGTGATTGAATCGCTCAGATTTTCATGGAGGCTAAAATTGACCAAATAAGGGTTTTGTGTATTATCTTTTGATGTTACTGTACTCATACTGCCTACTGTGTCATCAAAAACACCTCAAAAATGGCAACAAAAAAAAAAAGATAATTTCCCTTGCCAAAAATTGATCACAGAGTCCTGGTCACCTGTAAAGGGTTAAATTTACCTAAATATTACCTTATTTATTATCTCTTGATGTTATTAGTGCCATCACAGGATGCTGGGTGTCTTCCACATTCATAAACACCTCAAAAATGGCAACAAATGATAATTTCCCTTGCCAAAAATTGATCACAGAGTCCTGGTCACCCATAAAGGCTTAAATTGGCATAAATATTACTTCATTTATT